ATAATGTTCTAATCATGCTTGAAAGAATATTTAAGCGCTAACTGTAAGCATGTAATTGATGTTCATTATGCGAGCCACTTCCCATCTCTACAGAGCTCATAACTTAAGTATACAAGATAGATCAAGGGTTGGGCAGAGGGGGATAACAAATAAGTAGTATGATGGCAAAAATAAGCAGTATTATGGCATTTTAGAGACTACATTTAGTAGGGCATAAGTTTTCTTGGACAAAACCCACTTCAGATGAATGCACTTGAGATATAGAGATAATGAAAGGGGGCTGGAGGAAATGGCAAATGAGCATAACAACTTAAGGCTCAAGTCGCCCATTTACTGTGACACCCTCTTGCTTGCAACAAAACCCTGCTGTTGTGCTGCACATGTGCATTTCACTCTGGAATGTTAGTTTAGCTTGAGCCAGGTTTGAATTCCAAACTTAACTATTGATAACTTTTGACATACAGGTAATTCTTCAGTGAAGGAACAAGATTGAAGTGACAGGAAGAGTCCTAGGTATCCTCAATTATAAGAACTAGATGATTGTGTGTACTGCATTTTTAGGGTACAGGAGGCATGGATTTTTCTTAGCAACTGCTTACTGGAAATTTCTCAGTTTGAACTATTAACCCTACCTTACATCTCTGTGACAGTTTGAGCAGATTTTGAGGCAATTTGAGTCAGCATGTGGGTTTCAGAGAAATTAGATTCTCAACTATCATCACAGGAGATGTGCTGCACTGTTATGTATTTTAAAGGCATGATTATGTTAAGAAGGCAGGGGAAGGTTCTAAGAAATTAACTGTCCATCTGAAAATTTAATAAAGTATGTTAATATTTGTGTTTCTTAAAATTTGCTTTTGGTTACTTCTTAAACAGTATTGAAGTGAATTGATTTTTTTTTAATTGCAACTTGTGAGTCGATCCTCATATTAATTGTAAATACACTTCTACATAAACTTGATTAAAACATATTTAGGGCCAGCTTCAGTCAGGATGGAATTTGGCCCAGTGTTTTGAACTAATATGTGAACAAGATATTCCATCTTAGATTTAAAGTTAATTCGTATAAGATTGCTTTTATACTTGCACTGAATTCTGCTGAGCACTTCAAGCGCAGTATATCAACTAATATTCAGTTCTTTTTCCCATCCCCAACATTTTGGAACTGCTTGCATGTTGGAGGAGCACAAGGGGGATTAGTCAAGAGGCAGTAATTCCCTTCTAATCAATTTCAAATTAAGGAATAAAGCTTTTTGTTCCTCTACCTTTAGTACAGTGTGACACACACTAATTGTGAGCTTTTGTCTCTGAATTATGTTTTAAAGATCAGACAGGTCTATTAGTAACTTCCATTAATCTCATACAGAGCAGCTAATTAAAATTTTCATTATCCCTCCATTTTCTACTTGTTTCCTGTGTTCTATATCAGAACAGTATTTTATTAATTCATATATTGCAGTAACACTCTTAAGTGTAGTTGTAATTATTTAAATAATTGCTCATAGCTAGGGTTTACAGTAGAATGCATATTTTAGAAGTGGTTTCACTAATTTGCCAAGCAGATTTTTAAAATGACTTAAGTTGAGATTCTGGAAGAATGGGGCGGAAGGAAGAATTGGTAGTTTACTATTAATTTAAATTTATTATTAATTTAAATTCTGAAATCCAGTTTCCCCTTTTACATAGCTGTTTTACATAGTTGATAAATTAACTGTTATTTGAAACCTGCACTTGAAAACCTTATCCGGTAATCAGCAGCTGAAATCATGGAATAGAATCATAGAACACTGGAAGGGACCTCAGGAAATCATTAAGTCCAGTCCTCTGTCCCATCCTCTGGCAGGATGAAGCACCATCTAGATCAGGGGTTCCCAACCTTTTTCGGTCCCCATACCCTCTTGGCTTTTAGTAAACCTTCCCGTACCCCCTATTCAATATGAAAGGAAATAAATTCTAGACTCTAGAATCTATAACTTTTTTCCACTAACACTATTACTTTTGGAATATTTCAGTTAGGATAATCTAGTTATTTACCAAATATTACCCATACCCTCTTGACAAGCTTCTCGTACCCCCTGGGGGTATACGTACACCAGGTTGGGAACCCCTGATCTAGATCATCCCTGAGAGATGTCTATGCAACCTGCTCTTAAATATCTACAGTGATGGAGATTCCACAACCTTCCTAGGCAATTTATTCCTGTGCTTAACCATCCTGGCAGGAAGTTTTTCCTAATGTCCAACCTAACCCTTCCTTGCTGCAATGTAAGCCCATTGCTTCTTGTCCGAGCCTCAGGAGCCAAGGAAGCCTCCTCCCTGTAACACTCTTTTAGATACTTGAAATGACTATCATCGCCCCCCATCTTCTCTTTTCTAAACTAAGCAAGCCCAATTCTTTCAGTCTTCCCTCATAGCTAATTTTTTCTAGTCTTTCAGTCATTTTTGTTGCTCTTCTCTGGACCGTTTCCATTTTTCCTACGTCTTTCTTGAAATGTGGTGCCCAGAACTGGACACAATACTCCAATCGAGGCCTAATCAGTGCAGAGTAGAGCGAAAAAATGACTTCTTGTATCTTTCTCTCAACACTACTGTTAATGCATCCCAGAATCATGTTTATTTTTTTTATAAGTATCCACTATGACCCCTACGTTACTTTCTACAGTACTCTTTCGTAGACAGTCGCTTCCCATTCTGTATGTGTGATGAAACATATTGTTCCTTCCTAAATGGAGCACTTGGCATTTATCCTTATTAAACTTCATCTTATTTACCTCAGACCATTTCTCCATTTTGTCCAGATCATTTTGAATTTTGACCCTGTCCTCCAAAGTACTTGCAGCCCTCCCAGATTGGTATCACGTGCAAACTTAATTGTACTCTCCATGCCATCATCTAAATAGTTGATGAAGATGTTGAACAGAACTGGTCCCACAACAGACTCCTATTTGTAACCTTTAATAACTACTCTCTGAGAATGGTTATCCAGCCAGTTCTGCAGCCCAATCTAGGCTGTATTTCCTTAGTTCATTGATGTTTCCCCCAGTTTATTGAAGTTAAGGGCACGTGAGACCCAATGAAATGCTCTATTGAAGTCTAGGGTATACCACATCCACTGTTTCTCCCTTATCCACAGGGCTTGATATCTTACCAAAGAAAGCTGTCAGATTGATTTGACATGATTGTTCTTTATAAATCCATGCTGGCTCTTACCTACCACAGCTCCTTGCATATTCTAGGATGTTTCATCAGGCCCTGGTGACTTGTAGACATCTAACTCTTCTAAGTAATTTTTAATTTGTTCTTGTTTTATTTTAACTTCAAAACCTTCCCCATTTTCACTAGCTTTTACTATGTTAGGCATCTTGTCATGATCAATCCTGACAAAAAGCAAAACACAGAAGTAATTAAGCACCTGTGCCATTTCTAAGTTTCCTGTTGTTGTTTCTCCCTCTTGACTAAGCAGTGGACCTACCCCATTGTTCATCTTCCTCTTGCTTCTAACATATTTGTAGAATGTCTTCTTATTACCCTTTGCCTCTAGCTATATTGAGCTCGTTTTGTGCCTTTGCCTTTCTAATCTTGGTCCTGCATACTTCTGTTGTTTGCTTATATTCATCCTTTGTAATTTGACTTAGTTTTCACTTTTTATGAGACTCCTTTTTCATTTTTAGATTATGTAAAATCTGCTAGTTAAGCCAAGATGATCTGTTAGAAAGTATGGTATGTTTTCTACACAGTGATGTAGTTTGCTTTTGGGCCCTTAATTGCCAATTCTGTTCAGAAGCTTCAGGGGGTAGCCAAGTTAGTCTGTACAAGATAAATGTAAAAAACAACAAATTGTTTGGTAGCACTTTATACACTAACAAAACATATAGATGGTATCATGAGCTTTTGTGGGCACAGCCCACTTCTTCAGATGACCGGAGTTTTGAGTTCAGGATGTGCAGCCCCAAAATAAACTCAAAACTTTGGTCATCTGAAGAAATGGGCTGTGCCCATGAAAGCTCATGATACCATCTATATGTTTTGTTAGTGTATAAAGTACTACCAGACCATTTGTTGTTTTTTCTGTTTATCAACTGTGTTCCGTTGTTTTTCCTCTTAGTCTTACTTCTCATGGGACCTTACCCTACCAGCTCCATTGTCTCTGTTTTGCTGTTCTCCCTTCTACCGTTCCTTAGAATTGAGAACTCTCTGATTTCCTGATTGCTTTCACCCATGCTGCCTTCCACTTTGAAATTTTCAACCAGTTCCTCCCATTTCTTAAAATCAAATCAAGAACAGCTTCCCCCCAGTAGCTTTCTTAACCTTCTGGAAAAAAAAATTATCTCCAGTAAAGTTTAAGAACTTACTGGATAATCTGTGCCCTGCTGTGTTAGTTTCCGAACAAAAGTCTGGATAGTTGAAGTCTCCCCTCACCATCAAACCTGGTGCTTTGGATGATTTTGTTAGTTTTTTTTTTTTTTAAAGCCTCATCCACCTCTTCTGCCTGGGTAGATGGTCTGTAGTAGATCCCAGCATAACATCACCCTTGGGTTTTATTAATCTCTCTTAAGCTAACCCAGAGACTCTCAACAAATCTGTCTTCTATGTCCATCTCCACCTCAGTCTAAGTGTGTACATTTTTAATATATAAGGCAACACTACCTCCTTTTCCCTCCTGCCCATCCTTCCCAAGCAAGCTGTACCCTTCTATACAAGTAATAGAGGGGTAGCTGTGTTAGTCTGATCTTGGAAGTGAGTCTGCCCCATGAAATCTCATCACCTACTAAACTATCTTGTTAGTCTTTAAAGTGCTACTTATTTTTCCCTTTTGTTTTACCTTCTATACAAATATTCCAATTATGTATATTATCCTACCCAGTAATACCAACTGTGTCATAGTTGTGTTCGTTTCTTAACGTTTCAAGTTCTTCCTGCTTATTTCCCATATTCCTTGCATTTGTCTACAGGCATCTATGATACTGATTTGATTTTGTCCCCTGTTTTTTTTTTTACAGGGAGGATTGAAAAATAGCAAGCACGAGTGCACGCTATCGTCACAAGAATATATCCATGAATTACGATCTGGAATCACAGAAGAAAAACTTCTTAACTGTCTAGAGTCTCTGAGAGTGTCTCTAACCAGCAATCCTGTCAGGTAGGAGATAGGTTGTAATTTATAGTAAGTGTTGATGTGTAATGATATTAACTGTGTATAATAAATTACTTTGCCATATGTAGGATGTGTGTGAAACATGTTACAAAATCAGGTAATTACATGTTAAGAGGGGAGCATCTCAAAGCAGTTTAAGACTCTACTTAATCATGTTTCTCCATGGAAACTTTAGAAACAAGATTTGTTGCTACTATTTAAAATGCCTTTTAAAATCGCTGAAATTGTTTTAATTGAAGGAAGGGAAATAGTTTGACATCAGAGGTGAATGATAAATCAAGTTACTTACCTCTGGTGTAAAATGAGACACTGGGGTGAGCAATGAAACCTGCTGACTGGCAAGCTATAAATGGTTTTATGTATATTACCATATGGCATATTTGCTAATAGAGGTGCCCCAGTGGCTTCAATACGTCTACTCCTCTGTGCACAGTGAATTGACAACTGAGCTGACTTTGAATTTGTATCCATTTTTATGCTGGCTTTCTATACCCCCTTATGAGGCTGATAACCTGCTGAGTTGTTTAAGTTGTAACATTTGTCCTGGCTGTTCATAATCTTTTTATATAGTCACTAAGCATCCCTGCAGCCTGAAGGAAAGGGGGTTGTGACCAGCAAACACTTTCTAAGATATATAGTAATGGAGTTCCTTTGCTGATGGTGAAATGTCTGAAATGAAGAAGCAAATGGCCCTTTACCTGCATCTCACCTGCACTTCAGTAACCGCAGTGATTCTTTTATAATACAGATTTAAATAATCATGTCTCAAAAAAAATCTTCACTTAACATACTTGGAAAAAAAATCTCTTGAGATGTTGGGAGGTGAAGGAATTTTGGTGCAGAAGTCAGGGATGGGATTTGAGGAGGGTCTGTGGCAAGGGGCTGTGGGGTGTATATTAAGGATGTGAAATTGCGGTTACCAAGCTAATTGTATACAATTTGTATCGACTATACAAATAGTCAGGCTCTTACTTACATTTAAAATGTAGAGTTGCTTGCACTGATCCAGCAGCCCCCTGTTTGTGGTAGACAGCCTTGGCCTCAAGGATGAGCCTATAACTGTATCTGTAGGAGGGATTTGCTGTCTTTTAAGTATGCTCAATATAATTCAATCAGTAAACTTATTTGTGTAGATATGGCCTTAAAATTGGCTGCTGACATAGCCCTCCATGCTTTATGCAGTCAGAAATAGAAAATGTCACTTTTGCATAGTTGCATGTGTACTCAACATACTGGGGAGATGAAGAGAATTATGTGAATGTAGTGATTTAAAAAAAAAGACTAGTTCAGTGACGGGGGTAGGTGGCATTAACTCATGTTCAGCACTTATTGGCAGAGATTAGAATTGATGGGCTTTGTGGGAAATAGCTAGCAGAATTGGTTATCAAATTGTTAATTACCTTCCATCTGCTTATGAACGCTTATAAAGGAAGCAATAATACCATTGTGACAGGGACCTCTTTTTTTTCTATTGGCTTTCGTTCAAAGCTGCTGAAGGCAAACTTCTGGGTAGTAGGCAATATTATTTCCAATGATCTCTATAACAAGTTAAGGTTGATGACTGCTTTAATGGGCAAGTTAACAATTCACTGACTGTAGTACGTGCACAAAAAGATGAACGCTATCTTAAGTTAATTCACAATGTTTTGTTTATGGAAGTGTCAGTTATTCATGATCTAAGCTTTTATTAAGCTATCTGTGAATGTCATGCATATATAGTAGCTTAGCATTTCCAAACAGGTCATGCACAAACTTGGTAAACAATATTTTTATATCTCTTGCATATCAGCCTCCTGCTGGTTCTGAGTTTGATTTATAATTTTTCATTGAGGATATAATTAGTAATTTTATCGAGGTCCATAGCTAATAGTTGATGAGCACTTCAGAAAACAGGTTAACATCAAAGCGCTTGTATGCTAAATAATCTCTGTAAACATGGCATCCTTGCGATGAAAACCCCCCTTCCCAATTTAATAAGATAAGAGCTTAAAATATAAAAGGGGTGATTTTGTTGTGTGTATGGTATTTGCTCTTGCTTGTACTCATTTTATACTAATAATATGGAAGTAGTGTTGGAAATTACTTTCAAATAAACATGTTTCATTTTATATTTAAGGCCCTTTCATACCACCTTGCATAATCTCATAATAAATAAAATAAATTGACAAAAATAAGAAACCCATTGGTGATAAACTGACTATCATAATGAAGCTGATGCGTGCTACACGTTTGATATAATTTGAGACCCTAACAATGGAACAAAAATATGAAGAAATATATTAATTTAGAATATCTTCTGGCTATTTGTTGTTAATATTTCTGTGATTTGTGTCTTTGGAAAAAGTATTACATTAAGAATAGACCTAAAACATAACTACCGGACATGTAGTAAAACATTTTTTTTTTGCTGCTTTAGGTAAAAGTAGCTATCAAAGTTAGCCTTGGCTGGTAATTCACAGCAAGTTCAGAAGAAATTTCTGACTATTTGTATTTTATAATCTTAACTAGTTGTTGATAGCAGCGGGATTACATACTGATAATATCAATACTCATTCCCGTCACTGTGATTTAGAGATCCATAACTTCTGCAAAGTTCATATACATATCAATATCTGCTTGATCCCAACAAAGGACTAATAACTTGCAGAAGAAAGCTAGCTGCATATTGGGCTGCATTAAAAAAAGTATTAAACCTTATCACAGGAAGTGATTGTTCCCCTCTATTCAGCACTGGTGAGGCCACATTTGGAATACTGTGTCTAGTTCCCTCTCACCCCCAGTAGTGAAAGGATATGGACAAATTTTATAGAGAGTCCAGTGGAGGACAAAAAAAATAATTTGGGGACTGGGCCACATGAAGTGTGAGGAGAGGGTTAGGGTTAGGGAACTGAGCTGGTTTAGTCTTCAGAAGAGAAGACTGAGGGAGGGGATTTGATAGCAGCCTTGAACAACCTGAAGGGACCGGGGGAGAATGAAACCCAGGCTATTGTCAGTGGTGTTAGATGATGAAACAGGAATAAATGGTCTGAAGTACTAGTGGGAGAAAGGTCTAGGGTGGAGGTTAGAAAAAAAACTATTTCACTAGGATGGTGGTAAAGTACTGGAATGGGTTTTCTAGGGAGGTGGTGGAATCTCCATCCTTACAGGTTTTTAAGGCCAGGCTTGACAAAGGGTCCCTTATCCTGCTTTCCTAATGCGGGATCCAGCTCCATCCCGGGGGCAACTGGTGTTGGCTGTCTGGCTGCTCACAGAGATGCCTCCACTTGGTCTGGTGCAGGTGCTCTATGAAACCCTAATATGCCCTCTCTGCTTTACTATGCCTATTTTAATTTCTATGTTACATAATAGAAACCTAATGTTACCAAATAGTTTGTAAAGCCATTTCTAATTGTATAGACCGACCTCTGCTGGAGCGATTGCTGCTCCTTTGTTCCAGCCCGTAGTGTATGCTAGTCATGTAATAGTGTAGTCGATTAACTGATAAGCAAAAGCCTATAGGCTAATGCTGTAGACTACATGCATTTCCTTTCTCCAGCCTCCCTCCTAACTAATAAATGTTTTAGCAGGCTGGCCAGCAGCCCGGCTCAGTTCTGACACACGCCGGATCTGGGACCTACTCCTGCTGTGGCTCTGTATTTAAAGTGTATTAGAAGCCAGGTGGGCAGGCAGCCTGGCTTAGTTCCAGTTTGCGCTGGGTCCGGTTGCTCCGACTGCCCTCCCTCAGATAGGGACTGCCACCATCGCACAGCAATACAGGGTGACAAGCAGCCAGTCCGCAAGAGGAGCTGATTTTTAGACTGACTCCCCTCGTGCAGGGCCGGCTTGAGCCATTCCTGCGCCCTGGGCAGCGGGTGTGCGACGCATGCGCAGCTCCACTCCCGGGAGCATGTTGCATGTGTGTCTCTGCCTCCTGGCGCGCTGCTCACCTTACAGCTGCAATCGGGCGCGCAGCGCCTGATTGAAGCTCTAAGGGGTGCTGTGCGGCCTCCGGGCGCACGGCGCCTGATGGCAGCTCTAAGGGGTACCGCACGGCCGGGCACGCGGCGCCCCTTACAGCTGCCATCAAGTGCCCCCCATAGGTTGGTGCCTCGGGCAGCTACCTGGCTAGCCCCCCCCCCTTAATCCGGCCCTGCCTATGATACAAGCCTGCTTTAAAAAGATTCCTACCCCCAAGGATTATAGAATAGTCGACTAACTGATAAGAATTTATGAGGTTACTTGACTATTCAATTAATCGATATTTAACATTTCTAGTGCAGGCAAGACCTCATAAAAGAAAACTTTCAGCAAGTCATTTAACCTCCATGCTTTTTCCTCAGAAAGATGGGATTGTAAACATAAGAATTTTGTGAGCACTTGACAATGGTTCTGAAGCAGAGGTAAGATGTGAAACCCTATATAATTTGTAAGTTTGTTCAGCAAAAGGTTATAAAATATTGGGAGGTGCTGAAGTAACAACAGCAGGAGGAACCAGACCTGAGACCACTTGATCTTAGTGCATGAACCGCTACAGCTTTAGTTAAAAACCAGCTGACTCTCAGTTGAAACTGTAGAAGAAACTCATGGGACCAGTACATGGGACAGTGGGCCATACTGAGATGATTTGTGGGCTATACTGAGATGCTATGAAGAGGATTCTGATATGTCTGCCTTCTCAAGTAAAAATTAAGAGGTGGATTCCAAAATTAGGAATTATATTGAACTTACAAAAAAGTAAAAGCATCAATGTCTTTTTGAAGTGATGATCATCCTTGAGTCACTGTTCAGTCTCTGGAAAACTTCAAAAAATCGATTTCTGGATTTGTAACAAGATCTTTTCTAATGGAAGGAAAGAGGGCACTCTATAAAGGAAATGTGTTCACTTACTAATCACATTACATCTATTATCTAACTGACCACAATTCATCAATATGGAGGTAATTGTGAAGGCATGCAAACACCCACACTGCATTTGGCATCTTTGACACAATCCAGCAAATAAGGAC